CAATGAAGCAAGGTGACAAAAAAATCTAATTATATTTAGTTCTGGTTTTGTTCGATTTCGTTGAAATTTTAATATGATGAAGCTGGGTTTTTAAGGAATAGATTTTACTACTGCTGATATGAGGTAGCTATTAATGCTAAAGTGATATATTGCTTCAAAGTCAGGGTTTTGAAGAGATTTTTTGCAAAGCACGAGTTCGGCATGACTTTGTAATCTGAGATTTTTGTTGACCCTGGAGAAACAAGGTTTCGCGAATAAACATTACAGATTGCGTAATTCAAAGTTGGCTGAGTGGAGGTCTGCATCTGGTCTCCGACAACAAAAAAAAAAAAACCACGGGTAGAACATGAACCGCACTCGGCCCATGGCCGCGCGGTTAACAAGTGATTGACCAGTTGTTCATGAGTGGTCATTTTCAATCTATTGATTGTTAGACATTCAAAACAGTGTCAGTTCTTAATTTGTAAGTAAAAAAATTGTTTCTTTTTTGTTGAGGTCATAAATACAAGTGATTAAAGGTGCTAGCTCCAGTTGTAGTTGTGGAAGTTGACTAAGTAGTGCTTGTTCTAAGTTAGCATACCAGTGAGGGGTGTCGCAGTCAAAATTTTCTGCCATAAGATTAAATTTATTGTTTCAATTGGTGTTTTTATCAGATGTTACTTAGAGGTAATTAAACATTTTTTTGGTTATAACTTTGCTTAGAATCCATCCCTTTTCATATAAATTTTTTTAAATGAAAGATCACAATAAGATCTATCTGAAAAGCAAAAACAATTTTTTTTTGGTAAAATGGTCAATTTTGATGTATACTGATACCTTAATTGAATGTTACTGGTCAACATGACTGCCTAGATGAACGGTTGACTGATCAAATCCCCAATCAGGTTAGACAGTGTCCAATGCCCAGTCTTTATTTCCAGCCATGTTTTGAGTTTGGATGTTCAAGAGGTTGCACACTTACTAAAGCAGAGATTTATACAATGCAGTTCTTTCAAGATTAAAATTCACTCTTGGCTTTTTAGCACCTTTTATCTCTCTAAAAGTTGGACTGCTAAACTCAAAACAGTTTTCTGCTTTTCTTTCTTTCTTTCTTTCTTTTTTGGAGACTTATAGAACTAGGTGCAATTTTTCAGGCTTGGTCAACTGCATTGTTTTGAATGGCTGTGCAATTTTTTAAAGATTACTTCCCACCTTCAAGGACACAAAAAAATTAATAGTTTTTTTCTTCTAATTGACAAAATTTAAGTCGGTCATTTTACCTAGAGTTTACAACAGAAAAATATTAAAAATCTCAAAAAGCA